GGTAAAATGAGGACCCAGATTGTTGGGGGCAAGAGGCTGACTCTGTAAACTGCTTAGGGAGGGTTGTGAAGCATTGTGAAGCTGTATATAAGTCTAAATGCTAATTTTAATAGATTAAGAGAATTCTTTATTGCCCAAGTGTGATTGGACCCACAAGGAATTTGTCTTGGTGCAAATGCTCTCAGTGTACATAAAAGAAAAGAGACATTCGTCAAGAATCATCAGGTACAACACTTAATAATAGTTATAGGGTACAACAGAATAGAATAGAAGGATATAGGAATAGAATTTAAATAGAATGGGATGGTGTGGGATAGAGAATAGAATAGAAATTAGAATAGAATAGAAATTAGAATAGAATAGAATAGAAATTAGAATAGAATAGAATAGAAATTAGAATAGAATAGAATTCTTTATTGGCCAAGTGTGATTGGACACACAAAGAATTTGTCTTGGTGCAAATGCTCTCAGTGAACATAAAAGAAAAGATACATTCGTCAAGAGTCAAGAATCATCAGGTACAACACTTAATAATAGTCATAGGGTACAATAAGCAATCAAATCATACTAGGAAACAGTCAATATAAATCATAAAAATACAAGCGACAAAGTTATGCTATTGCTATTCCAATTTCATTTTAAATTGTATTTTACTCCAATTTCATTTTAGACTGTATTTTATTCCAATTCCATTTTAAATGGTATTTTACTCCAGTTTTATTTTAAATTGTATTTTATTCCAATTCCATTTTAAATTGCTTTTATCAAATTTTACTCATCATTTGCTTCTGGAACTCTGCCCTTTCATAGGGCTAATCCAGGGCTAATCCATCAATCAATGCAATGTCATGTATGACTCCCTGTATCAGGAGAGAAATGGGAATTTTTGGGGAAAAGTAAAGGGGCGTTTGTTGATTATGGTGATGGGCACACACCTGTGCTGGAGAACCACACCGCTTACCTGATGGTGCCAGTAGGAGAAGGCAGGGGGCTGACCAAATTCTGCAGATCCAGCTCTGGAATGTGGATCTTAAGCGGCGAGATCTGGGGGTAGAGTGGTCGGAGTGGAGGAGACGCCGTGTCCTCTCTGGCTTCCTCTCGATGGTAGAGGGATGTGAACTGGATTTTGATGACTGTGCTGGGAAACCGGATAACACACCTGGTGCGGGGGGCAGGAAAAAGGAAGAAAAACAGACACAATTGAGCGTGACGCAAACCCGAGTCCCGTGGTATGCTTAAACGGTCACTAAACGGAACCGTTGTAAATCAAGGGCTACACGTACTGCCAATTCTTTCAAGAATCTCTTCCGTAAAACTCAAGTTATTGCTCCCTGGAATGCATGCAAAAGCCTGAACAAGGAAGCACGGAAGCAAAAGAAAAACAGCAGTATTTAAACAAAACACAAAACAAAACAAGAGGAGCAGGAAGTATATCAAAAAAACTGCAGTGTTTTGCTTTACTTAAGGGCAAGATGACTCCAAACTTGGCCAGTTTTAAGACTTGTGGACTTAGATACACGGTGCCTCCATATTTTGCTTCCCTCCCCCCGTCCCCCATTTTCTTTTTTCTGTTTTTACAACAACGCTTTCAAATGGCTCCCTGGGCTTCGGGGAACTCTAAGCAAGACCCCCCCAGTAAAGAGGAAGGCTTCCATAAATCACAGCAAAACTGTAAATTCTCCCGACATCTAAACATGACTGTTGCTTGGAAATATGTGCGTTGCAAGGCTGTGTTTACTCAGGGGGATTTCCACAGTGGGTACAGCAATGTTATCTCTAGGCTATCAGCCTGGTTGGTAAGGGGGGTGGGGGCTTCTAAAAAGGACATACAGCGCCCCCCCCAGACCATGAGTCTGGGCCCCTCCGCCATAAAACTGTTGCAGATTTTACAGTTCAATTATTGAATGTGAATTGCATATTTTTTTTTCCTCCCCCTGAAGTCAGGTAGGCCCCTTCATTTGTGTCCACCTATTCAAACCAAGGGATCCCTGATGCTCTCTTGAGCTTGGTTGTTTTCTTGCGGTTGTTTCATGACCCAAATTAGATACCATCACCCGGTGCGCTGATGGTGTTACCTAGTTGGGTCATGAAACGTCTGCAATAAAACAAGTTCAGAAAGGACTAAGGACTCCCAAACCCTCTTTTTCCACTCCCTTGTAACACTGCTGATGTTACCTAGTTGGGTCATGAAAC